GGAGGCTGAGAGGAGAGGATCACTTGAGGCCAGGAGCTCAAGTCCAGCCTGGGCAACAGAACAAGACCCTTTCCCCCTGTCCCGTCTCTTAAAAAAAGAAAAAAGAACACCCGGACATAGCAAGTGATCTGGAATTTTCAGGATTTACTTCTGCTATAAAGGTCACTTTGGAGATAATTGGTGAAATCTAATTAAAATCTGCAGATTTCTTGCTTTTGATAATTTTACTGAGGTTACATTTTTTAAAATGCCTATTGGCTTGGCACCTGTAGCTTAACGGCGAGGGTGCCAGCCAATACACCGGAGCTGTTGGGTTCAAATCCAGCTGGGACCTGCCAAACAACAACAACTACAACCAAAAAATAGCTGAGCCAGGTGTTGTAGTGGGCGCCTGTAGTCCCAGCTACTTGGGACGCTGAGGCAAGAGAATGGCTTAAACCCAAGAGTTGGAGGTTGCTTTGAGCTGTGACACTACAGGACTCTACCGAGGGTGAAATAATGAGACTCTGTCTCAAAAAAATAAAAAATTAAAAAATTAAAATGCCTTGTTCTTAGGAAACTCTCATGCAGTATTTACATGGATGGATGGATGGGTAGAAACCTGAGCTACTAGTAAATAGGCATTCGTTCTTCCTACTCCAGACCAATTTTCTCTGAAGACCTTTCTGTAAGAAAGAAATTGATTTTCTCTCATTTAAGTTGCTAACACACTGTGTTTATTATCATTTCCAGCTGAGTCTAATCTTGATATCATTTTTAACAGAAATATCCCAAAATTCACACAGCAACATGTGAGAGTTACAAAGTCAATTGTAATAATAATAGTGGTAGACATTAAGATTTTTTTTTTTGAGACGGAGTCTCATTCTGTTGCCCTGGGTTAAATGCCATGGCATCAGAGCTCACAGCTACCTCAAACTCAAGTGAGCCCCAAGTGAGCTTCTTGAGTAGTTGGAACTCCGGGCACCCATCACAACACCAGCTAGTTTTTCTATTTTTAGTAGAGAAGGGGTCTTTCTCTTTCTCAGGCTGGTCTCAAACTTTTGAGCTCAACATCTGAGCTCAAACTGCCTCTGCCTTCCAGAGTGTTAGAATTATAGGCCTGAGCCACTTCATCCAACCTAGGAATTAAGAATTTTTGTAGCTGGGTGTGGTGATGCATGCCTGTAGTCCAACTACGGGGGAAATAGAGGCAGGAGGACCACTTGAGCCCAGGAGTTTGAGGTTGCAGTGCTCTATGAATGCACCTGAAAATAGCCATTGTACTCCAGCCTGGGCAACACAGCAAGACCCCATCTCAAAAATTTTTTTTGTTGTTGAGATAGTAGTATAATGCCCATGAGTTCAGTTGCTCAGAAACTGCAGAAATCACAATCTAGAATTATGCTGTCCAGTCCTGTAGCCCATATCCACATATGGCTATTTAAATTGAAGTTAATTTAAAAAAATTTAAAAGTCACTTCCTGCCTCATGTCACTGCATTTCAAGTGCTAATGGACAAGCACTGTTCTGGATTGTGGAGTCTAGAGCGTTTTTTCAGACTATGACTCAAGGAGTATAATTTTTTTAATTACTGGGGGGTGTTTGGTGACAAACACACATTTCTGGGGTCATTCCAGATCTAGTTAGTCAGAATTTCTGACTACAGAGCTTGAGAATCTGCATTTTAACAGGCTTTTCCAGGACATTCTGATGTTCTCAACTAGCCCAGAGCCTCCTTCGGGAAAAAGGAGGTGAAAAACAGCTTGTGTTTCAGGCATGTGGGCTGATTCCATTCCAGGCTCCTGGATCAGAGACATATCAGACTGGGATACTGAGGAAGATGAGACATGACTACAGTCTTCAAAGACTGCTTGGGTTCAAATCTTGGCCCTTTCATTCACATACCACTTGACCTTGGGTAGGTTACTAGACCTCTCTGTGCCTCAGTTTCCTTACCTGTCATAGTCAGTAATAGTACCTACTCTATAGGGTTGTTATGAGGATTCCATGAGTTCATAGGTATGTAAGGTACTTCAACAGTGCCCAGCACACATTAAACAGTTTTTATGAATATAATTAGCCAGGCACAGTGGCTCACACTTGTAATCCCAGCACTTTGAGAGGCCAAGGCAGGAGGATTACTTGATGCCAGGAGTTTGAGAACAGCCTGGGTAACAGAGGGAGACCCTGTCTCTACCAAAAAAAAAAAAAAAACATAGAAAAATAAGCTGGCCACAGTGGCATGTGTCTGCAGCTACTTGGGAGGCCAAGGCAGGGGGACCATTGAGCCCAGGAATTCAAGGCTGCAGTGAGCTATTATGATGCTACTTCACTCCAGGCTGGGTGACAGAACAAGACACTGTCTCTTAATAAAAACCAAAAACCAAAAACATTAGTTATATCTCCAAAGGTCTACTCAGTGAATGTGGGTTATGACCTGCTGCAGAGATTTCCTCTGGGCTCGCCATTGAAAATATCACCTGAACCTCAAAACTGCCAGTTCCCCTGTTTAATTTTCTTTTTTTTTAAAGACAGAGTCTCACTATGTTGCCCTTGGTAGACTGCTCTGGTGTCACAGCTCACAGCAACCTCAAATTCCTGGGCTTGAGCGATTCTCTTGTCTCAGCCTCCCTAGTAACTCGGGCTACCCCTGTTTAATTTTCATCCATCACATAACACTCACTTGCTTTTGCTTCATTTTTTGACAAACACTTATTGAGTGCTTACTGTGTGTGAGCATGCCAGGCAGAGAGAACAGCAGACGCAAAGGCCCTGAGTTGAGAACATGCCAAGTACTCTCTCTCTTTTTTTTTTTTTGGTAGAGACAGAGTCTCACTTTATTGCCCTCAGTAGACTGCCGTGGCATCACACAGCTCACAGCAACCTCCAACTCCTGGGCTTAGGTGATTCTCTTGCCTCAGCCTCCCGAGTAGCTGGGACTACAGGCACCCACCACAATGCCTAGCTTTTTTTGTTGCAGTTTGGCCAGGGCTGGATTTGAACCCACCACCCTCAGTATATGGGGCTGGTGCCCTACCCACTGAGCCACAGGCGCTGCCCTAGTACTGCCAAGTACTCTTTAAGATGCTAGAGATACATTGATGAAGAAGACAGGTGCAGTCCTATCTTCAAGGTTTTTGTATTTTAATGGCTGGGGAGACAGATAAATTAATATAGAATATGCTGCCAAGTGGTAAGCAGGTTGGGGCCAAGTAGGTGGTCAGGGAGGACCTCTATGAGGAGGTGACACTTGAGCAGAGTCCAGAAAGAGGAAATGGAGGAAGCATGTGGGTGTTTGGGAAAAATCTATTGACTCTGGCCTGGCCTGTGCCTCTCTTTCCTCCCCTCCCTTCTCCTATCCCATCTTGGGCTCAGGTTTCCAAACAGAGGTTGTTTCTCAACTGCTAGAGGAGGGGAATTCCAATGGAGTTTGCAGGCTGTCAGCTTCCGTCTGCCTTCTCTCCCATTGGCTGCCCTAGTGTTCGAGCTCCAGCTTGAGGACACAGGAACCACCCTCGCCCCCAGTCAAAGCTCCAGACCTATCTTCACAGGAGTTTCTGGATTCTCTGGTTCTGGCCAAAGGAGGAGCCTATCACCAAGGAGCCCAGCAAGGGATCCTCAGCCCCATGCCATCTGGGCTTCTGCTGGTGCTGGGGGAGATTTGCAGTCACGCTTCAATGGCAAAGAGGAGGCTGAGAGGCCTCTCTCTAGCTTAGTAGTGGAGCTGGTGTGGTCTGGAGTCAGCCTATCCAGGTTCAAATATAGATATAGGCACTGACTCGACTACTGCTGTGCAACCCTAAGCAAATCACTTAACTTCTCTAAACCCACACCTCCTTAAGAGTTTATAACTCGGCTCGGCACCTGTGGCTCAAGTGGCTAAGGCACCAGCCACATACACCTAAGGTTGCGGGTTCAAATCCAGCTCAGCCCACCAAACAATGATGGCTGCAACCAAAAAATAGCCGGGCGTTGTGG